GATAGATAGATAGATAGATAGATAGATAGATAGATAGATAGATAGATAGATAGATAGGTAATAAAGATAGACAGACAGATAGATGGATGGATGGATAGATAACAATACGGAGGACATTCTAGCACATGCTATTGCATGGGTAAGAGTTGAAGACTTTAGGATAAGTGAAATGAATGTGTATTAAAAGGACCAAGCCTATATGATTCAACTTGCATGAGACCCCTAAATGATCAGTTTCACGCAGAATATAGAAAGACCCTTTGCACGAGCCACAAAGAGTGCGGACAGGGGGCTTGACAAAATGAGAAGGTTGTAGAGATGGGGGGTGACCCCCCTGAGACAATGTTAATAAACTTAAAGCCATGAGCTGCACGTGCAGATTGTTAAGACGGTAAACACTGGCTATGATTTTTACCACAGCAATCCTTCTTCCTCTTTATAAAAAAAGTGACATGAAGCTGGAGTGGGGATGATTTTAATTAGAATCGTCTGAGAAGAGCTTCTGAGGTGATTTTGAGTCAAAGCTAATCACAATGAGAAAAACCTAAGATGACACGGGGTCTTTTTGATTTTGTTCTAAGTACAACAGGGTGTGTCTGAAGTGTTTTGATTAGCAGGAAAATGAAACCAGACATGATAGCACACACCTTTGACCTCAGTGCTCAAGAAGCAGAGGTCAGTGGATCTCTGGAGTTCCAGGTCAGCCTGGGCTACATAGTGAATCCTTGCCACAAACAAAAAGAAAATAGCAAACACCTTAAAAGATTTTAAGATTAACTTGAAAGATGTTCCTGGCTGTGTCTGAAAAGCACACTGAGGTTTCTTCTGGGCGAAACCCTGAAGCCAGGAAGCCTTTAAGAGACCCCTGCCGTCACCTGAATAGTTAGCTGGGGATGTTGAAATGATTATGATGAAAGAGAGTGTATCAGGTCACAGTTCAAAGGAGTGACTGACTGAGAACTCGATTTGGTATGAGGGACAAAGGATGGCGTCGCTATTTTCAGTTGAGAACTTTGCAGATGGGATTCCCTATACTGAGATGGAAATGCCGCGGCAAAGCTGGTTGGCAGATGGGGAAGGTATAGAGTCAATCAAGGGGCATGCCACCCAGAGTGGGACGGTGAGCCCAGAGCCTGCCGGACAGCAGCGCTAACTCAAAGAAGTCCTTGCTTAAATTTAATGAATGAAGAATAAAGTGAATGACTAACTCAATGGAAGTGGGAGCAAGGGAAAGTGGTTGAGGGAAGAATTAGTTCTAAACTTTACAAAATCTGAAGGGGAAGATTTGGCAAAATCATGATTATAAAAAATACCAGTCTAGAATTTGTGATATTCCCAAACCATACATGAGGGCTTCATTCTGAAACTCCTCTTCCTCCCATAGGAATGTGCTTCTAAAGCCACCAAGCCCAGCCTTGGGGTACAGAATGGCAGAAAGATAGAGGGAGAGGGCAGGCTCTCCATGGCTCTTCTGGATTTGAAATAGAAGCAGGGCCACAAAGGCCCCTCTGAAACTCTACCTGCCTCCTGCCAGTCACCAAGCCCTGATTTCACTGTCTCCTCTCTTTCTCTCTCTCTCTCCACATACACAAGCACACACACACACACAAGCACAAGCACACACATGTACACATAGACACCCTTGGCATCCCCAATGTGCAGGTGCTGTGCAATGACACTCAGTCATGCAGGCAAATGCCGGGGGTTTCCGCAGAGGGCCTCACCCCCTAAGGCCAGTGATTTAAACCAGCAGGAGAGACGATTATTTCTTTCCATCCACCTGAAGCCGGTCTTGAGTTGACTGACCCACTAATTGCACTTCTGGAGGGAGCTTCAGGCCAGTTCCTACTGGGAGTCACAAGTCAAGACGACAGATGAGTGAGAAGAGCAGGTTTTAAAAGTCACTTTCACACCTCAATGTCACCTGCACAGTGGGGGGGGGGGGAGAAATATCTGTAATTACATTGTAAATCAGCTGTGCAATTGTGCATATATATATATGGTTTTCGTGCAATTAACTGTGTTTGTCTTGACTCTTTCTTTCATAGGACTGAGGGTACAGGGGGGACCGACATCAACCCCAGTGCCTGTTTCCCTTCTGACAAAAATGACCCCCTCTCCAGCCACCTTGACTACCTCTGCACAAAACACGGCTGTGACCAGTACCCCCGTGTCCGGTGGCACTCCCAACGCCTCACTTCTCCCCACTGCTGCTGCATCCTTGCCATCTCAGCTCTCCAAGAACATTTCCACTGTCCCCAGAGAAGAGGCTGTCACCAGCCCAGCTTCGAAGTGGAATGGCAGCAACACAGAGTCACCTGCCAGCTTCTCCCCAACGAGCAACGATGCCCACTTGACACCCACTCCCAAGGAGCACGGTCCTGAAACGAACGTGCCAACCACTACGCCCCAGCCACCCACGCTCATGTCTTCTCAGACTCCATCCTCAACATCCACACTCCAGGCAACTTCCCCACTGGAGTCTCTGTCTGCCTCCAGCATCTCTAACCACAGCTCCGTGGTGACCAGCATCCAGTCCACAGGAGCTCCGACGGCTCCCACGTCCCCAACAGAGGGGCCCAGCTCTAGTCAGACACCCACTTCCCATGTTACAGCCGAGCTGGCACCCAAGGAGAAATCACCCCAAGATGCTGAGCATGACAAAGTGGACTGTGAGTCGGAGACCACCACCCCCTTCCTGATCATGCAAGAAGTGGAGAATGCCTTAAGTTCAGGTGAGTTCCTCTCGAGATGAGATTGATGTTCTAGATTATGCTAAAGTCAAGCACCCCTCCCGTGGAATGCACAGTGCCTAAGGGTAATTATGAGGCTCTATAAGAATGCAAGTTTTCAGCCACTTAATATTTTACATTCTTTGTAGTCAGTTGTCATCTGTCTGATGTGTCTTTACAGAATGTCACAGGGGTTGCACATAAGTAAGACCATGAAGTAAAATAATTGGGTCAAGCTTTCCTGGGTTTTACTTCCAAAAACTTCCTAGCCCCCTCTCAAAATGGGGGAGACCTCCCCCAAACAGGATCTTTTTCCTTTGGGTATCACAAAACCAAAGAGAAAAGCCAAAGCTGAGCATCAGGGGCCTACATCTGTTTATGACAGAGAATGGAGAATTGGGGAGTCTAGGCTCAGACGTAAATGGTTTACCTTGTCTGAAGTGAGAGCATCATACCCACAGGGTTTTCAAAAATAATGAGACTGATAAAAGGAATATTCAAGACTTTTCCTTTAATATGGGAAATTCTTTCTCTCCTTCTGTGGTGTGGTATTTCCTGTCATGGCAGCTGGTGGGTATGTCACGAATAACATAGATTCAGGTTATAATGAATTTCGAGGTTGTCTGACCATCACTCTAGAAGCATCTTAGATCCAACTAGTTTTGGCTAGCCTGGCTGTAGAGGATGTTCTGGCCTTCAAAGATAAGATTAAGGCTAAAAATTCAGCTTGGACCCTGGGTGACAGCTTCGGCTCTGAGTCCTGACCTGGATCACTTTCTTTCCCTATGCCCTTCACTTTCCTCATCGGTAGTGTTTTGCCACGCACTGTCCTCATGAAGATCAGATGGCAAACATGGTGCTTAGGAGAGCTCCTGGCACAGAATAGCTCCAAAAACTACAATCTGGCTCACTTCTAAAGAAATGTTGGCCTTAGAAGCTGATCACTGTAGGGTAGAGGTGAGAAGGCTTGTTCATAGATGGAAAATAGCATGGATTTTATAGAACACTGCATTCATTTTATTCTCAAAAACCCTGTAAAGTTAGTGTCATGTTAGCCTCATTTTTACCATCTTGAAAATTACGGCGGACAGATATTCAGTCTTTTCTAAAGCTACACATAGCACAACCCAATATGAAACTGTAAACTTCTGGACCCTTGGCAGAAAAGGCTTCCATGAAAACAAAGAACCAGTGAGGCAAGACTGGTCAGCATGCCTAGTGGCAAGTGGAAATGGACCCTAAGCCTTTCCCTCAGTGGTCATGGGGCAAGCTTGCCTTGAGAATAGAAGGTTCCAGTCAGATTGTGTATGACAAGCTAGGGCCAATGGAACACTGTCAGTGGTGAGAAAAGACATCTTTTAGTGAGAACAAACAAACTCTGGGAATGGACATAGTGCTAGAGAGTGGCAGGAAAAGAAAAGCTGAGATTAACGAAGGACTGACTGCTATGGAAGAGCCCAAGGGCTAACCATGGGCTAATCGGACAAGCAATCCCAGAAAACTGTAAGCAGGAGACACTGTAGAAAGATGTGGAACTTTGGTGGTGGTGCACACTTTAATCCCAGCACTCACGAGACAGAAGCAGAAGGATCTTTGTGAGTTTGAGGCCTGCGTGGTCTCTAGAGCGAGTTCCAGGACAGCCAGGGCTACACACAGAAACCCTGTCCTGAAAAAGAGAAGGAAAGAAAAGAAAAGAAAGGAAGGAAGGAAGGAAAAGAAAATAAATGTGAAATTTCCAAAGGATTAAAAACTGTTTTTCAAATCTTATCTCAAAGGCTGGGGGCATACCAGTGAGGGGAACAGGAATGAAGGAAACATTCCAACTGGGCTGAAGGCGTCGACTGCAGAGGCCTGGCTGAGGTGCGGGAGGCGTATAGTAAGGGGCAGGTATGAGACAGGACAGAACTGAAACCGGAATTCAGTAGCAAGTCCTGTGGAAAGACCGCCTCCATTACAGGACAGACTCTGTCTTGAAGGGAGCTACCCTTCCTTCCTATTCTATCTCCACTCTGACATGCAGCCAGGAGCCAAGGCAAGTGAAGCCAGTGGCATAGCGGAGAGCCGGGTGGAGAAGGGTGGGGGCGAGCCTGCAGGGGGGTAGTGGGGTGACCTAGTTCTAGCCCACTGAACCCTGTTCACAGTTCCAGGTACTCAGCACTCCATCCTTAGCTGTGCCCCTACCTCTCTCTGCTGCTGTCTCACCCTGACTTCCTGCCCGAGTATGAGGGAGGTACCAAAAGTAGAGTGGGTTTTGTAAAATACATCTCTCATAAAAGGAGCATCCAGGTACAAGGCTATGGGCATGGTCCCATCCACCTTTTCCTTCCTGCTCTGGACGCTTAGCGCCATTGCCTGTGAGTGTCGCTTTACTTTGCTTCTCCCCCCAGAATTCCACAGATGGGATGGTTTGATACTCTAGAGTACAAAGTCTAAACTTGGTGAAAGGGGATCTCCAGGATCTGATATATTGTCCTGAAATCCGCTAGTTCCTTTACTGGAACTTTCAGGAATGTTTTGGCACTTTTGGCTTGGTCTTTAGATCACATTTCTTCCTTATTTCAACCTAGCAGGGCCAAAGGTTCAAAATTGGTGGCACAGGTGAGTCGCGGTCCTTCGTAGTTCAAGAAAATATGCACACACAGGAACTCTGCATGAAGAGAAGCTTGAATGGATGGGGAGGAAAGAAAGATGGCAGGGGAGGGTGATTATCAAGTCCAGGCCAAGGGTACATTCATAGAACACAGAGAATTTGTCCCTTAAGATCTCTTCAATACAAAATTACTTAAAGTGCATCCACCAGAACCCACGGGCTGTCCTTTGGGATTCAAGCAGAGAGAAAGGACACAAGTGACTCCTAATTCCACTCCTAGCTTCTAACCCAAGAATGAACCAAGACATGTGGGACAAGTATGGGGGCCATGAGATACGGTCTGTCCATTGCACAAGGAAGAGACTATTCCCTGGAGGAGTGATGTGCTTTGCTCAAGGTCAGGCCTCTGCTCAAGGTCACACCTCTCAGGACAGAGCTGGGCCCAAAATGATCTGGCTCTGGGCCAACCCAGCCTTGCTGCATGCACCTCATCAGCCCTTGGCTCCCCTGAGTTCCTGTTTCCAGACAGCTATGCAGGGATGCTCTTCAGAGATTAGTTGCTGCCAATGCTAAGGACCTCCCTTTGTGTGACAGTTGGTCTTGTTCTGGGTGAGTTTACACAGCTCATTTCAATTAATCCATCTTTTCAACAAATACTTAGTCCTAGTCCACTGACTAATTCAGAAACAAAGCAAATGTTATGTGAGTTCAAATCAACCAGAGAAAGTGTGATGAAGGTGTCCACTGCAGAGGCCTGGCTGAGGTGCAGGAGGTGTATAGTAAGGGCCAGGCATGAGACAGGACAGAACTGAAGCCGGAATTCAGTAGCAAGCCCTGTGGAAAGACTGCCTCCATGACAGCACAGACTCTGGCTTGAAGGGAACTACCCTTCCTTCCTATTCTACTTCCACTCTGATATGCAGCCAAGGCAAGTGAAGCCACCTTCCATGGTGAAGGGAGCTGGGAGCTACAGGAAATGGAGTCTGAGCAGATGGGTCTGGAAAACATGAGCCGAGGTGAGGGCCCAGAATTTCTGCAGCTGATGTCGAGGGGAGCGTACCGCATCTGTAGGACCACCTGCTCTCAATGAGGAACCCTGTATCTTCCCTGCCTCATGCTCCTTTGGCTAATTCTCAGGCCCAGGTAAATCTGACTACTGTATAGTTGTTGACTTTGACGGCCATGGTCGGAGCCTCATCTCCAAGGCACTGTCTCCGCTTAAGCTCCAGAGCGACTTCTCTCTCGTTCTTCTACTACTTCTGTCGGTGCCTCCCTCACAGCCTCCCTCACAACCCTGGGCAGGCGCTCCAGGCAATATTGAGCACAGCAGGGCCACCCCACCCTCTTTCTTCCCCTGTTGTTCCAACCCCTTGCCTTCCTCCCTTTGGTTCGAGAGGACCGCGTCCTGATGGTGCTGAGAAACACATGTCTGCCCGTTCTGTTTTATGGAACTGCACCTGTGTCTATCCCGCTGTTGGCCAACTAAAGACCTCCCTGGGGGCTGCCATGAGCAGATGTCTGAGGGAGATTATTAAATTCCTCAGCTGGTGATCTGTGGAGCTCCCTTCTCCCATCCTCCACATCCAGTCACTCCATCGATCTGACCTGGTGGCTTCTCATCCCTCCCTCTCCCTCTCAGGTTGCTACAGTATTACTGAATGTGGCCTGTTCACTCATCACACCCTTCCAGACGGCCATTTTTAGAAACAGAGTTTTGGATCTCCTGGGTTGTGTTGTTCCATTGGCTCAGCCCTGATGACCCACACCTGCCTAGTCAATTGAGGGCGTCAGAATCAAACACCCCTTAGGCCTTGCCCTTTTCTGTGGATGGAAATAGGTTGGTGATTATTTCAGCCTTCACTTCTGACCTTAAGGAGGTCATAAGTGTTAGACCGGCCCTCATACCTCCAATACAGTAGCCAGGAGCCAAATGTGGCCATCCTTCCTATTAGCTGAACACAGAGAATCCTCCTACTACAGGGCCTTAGCACACACTGCTCCCCTGCCTGAAAAACCCACCCTCGTCTTTTTAATGGACCAGTCCTGTTCCTTGTCTGGACTCTATTCAGCTCCCATCTCTTTAGCAAACCTCCGCTCTGCTAAGTGGAATGATGGGTGCCGTCAATGTGGATCCATTTACCATGCTTCACTTGCCTTGTTATTGCTTGCCGTTCTCTGACGGTATCTCCTGTACCGGGAGACTGCCTGCTTACTGCTAGGAAGGACCCTGCTCACAGGGAATGAACAGGAGGTTATGTCTCAGCCCTCTGAAGTGGCAGATCCTCGGCAGCATTCATTGAATCAGTGAAAGTGTCCATCAGTCAGCACCAGGGAAGCTGCTACACTTATCTGACCATCCTTATCCATAAGATGGAAGAGGAAGAAGATCTGTAGGGTGTGGCTATCAGAGGAT